CAACTATCTATGCAACTTTACTTATTTACTTTGAAAATTATATATTATTTATTTTGTAGGCATGTGTGTATATGTGTCTGTTTGGGGGTGGGCGCAGGCCGTAGACCTCTCTCCTCCTACCAGGTCATCAGGCTTGGCAGCAGGTGACTTTGCCAGTTGAGTCGCCTTGCTAGTCCTATTTATTTAGTTACTTATTTATTTGTTTATTTATTTTGAGACAGATTCTTGTTTGTTTGTTTGTTTTGAGACAGGGTTTCTCTTTGTATCTTTGGCTGTCCTGGAACTCCAGGCATGCCTTGAACTCACAGAGATCTACCAGCCTCTGCCTCCCAAGTGCTGGGGTTAAAGGCATATGCCACCACACCCAGCAAGACATTTTAACTATGTAACCCAGGCTGGCCTGAAACTTGAAATCTTCCTGCCTCCACCGCTGAGTGCTTGGATTGGTACATTGGGCGTGTATTACCTCATTCATCTGACTATTGGGATGCAGAGGCAGGTGGATCTCTGTGAGTTCGAGGCCAGCCTGGTCTACAAGAGCTAGTTCCAGGACAGGCTTCAAAGCTACAGAGAAACCCTGTCTCAAAAAACCAAAACCAAAACAAACAAAAGCAAGCAAACCAAACCAAAACAAAACCTACAAAAAAACCACACCAAAAACCAAAACAAAAAACTGAATGTAAGAGATCCCCTTCTTTTCTCTTTTTAAAATATATTGAATTTTGTGACAATGTTTTTGCTGTTGCCCTACCTGACCTGGAACTCTGTGTAGACCAGGGTAACCTCAGACTCACAAAGATGGGTTTCCCGAGTGTTAGGATTGAAGGCACATCCCATCAAACCCAGCTAAAATCTTTCTTCTATGAAGGAAAAAACAACATCCACATATCAGAAGGAACGGACGCGAGGGAGGGAGGAAAGGGCCCTCTGAGGCTGTCCTAGCTGCCGCGTCCATTGTCCCTGCTGAGTCAGCCAGGAAATTGCTCCTTTTTGCTTAATGCCGCCTTGGATTCGGCCTGTCACTACAGCGAGCACGTCCTGACGAATGCGCCGCCAGACTCATATCTGCGGTACGTCCGGAGTAAGTGACAGCACCGGGAGCAGAAGGAATGGACTTGATTACATCCTTGATACATGGCTCCCGGATTACAGAGATTAAGTTAGAACCCCAAAGTATTCACTCACTGGACATCCGTACCCTAACGTGTGCCAACTGTTCCGCGTTAGATGCTGGAAACATAAAACCCAAGAGCGAGCAAGCCGAGCAGGTGAGAAGGCTCAACAGGGAAAAGCACTTCCCACCAAGCCTGAGGACCCGAGTTCCGTCCCTAAGATCCACGTGGTGGAGAGAGACAGAGAGAGAGAGACAGAGAGAGAGACAGAGAGAGACAGAGAGAGACAGAGAGAGAGGCAGAGAGAGAGAGACAGACAGACAGAGAGACAGAGAGACAGAGAGAGAGACAGAGAGAGACAGAGAGAGAGGCAGAGAGAGAGAGACAGACAGACNGAGAGACAGAGAGACAGAGAGACAGAGAGAGAGACAGAGAGAGAATGACTCCCTAAGGTCATCCTCTGACCTCCACCCCTGTGCCTCAGCCTGCCCATGCTCCTTCCCAAACCAAATAAACATGGCATAAGAACACAAAACCAAAGAAGCAAGCAGACAAAAAGGAAAAATAAATAAAAATAAAAAACAAAAACAAAAAAACAACACAGCAGCATCATCAAAGAAAGTCTCTGTAGGAACTCTGTCTAAATGAAGAGGAAGGAGAGGATGAGGGGCTGGAGAGATGGCTCGGTGGTTAAGAGCACTGGCTGCTCTTCCAGAGAACCGGGTTCAGTTCTTCCCACCCCCGGCCACACATGGCTGCTCACAACTGTCTGTAACAGACACACAGGAGGCAAAACACCAATGCATGGTGCATGTAATGTAATGTGCATGGCGGCACATCCTAGCACTTGGGAGGCAGGGACAGGCGGATCGCTGCGAGTTCGAGGCCAGCCTGGTCTGCAAAAAACAAAAACAAACAAAAAAGGCTCAGACGACGTGGCTGCTGTGAGCCCACAGAAGGACAGAAGGGACAGTTACCTCTGAGGAGGTAACAGTCTAAAGCAATTTTCTCACAACATTGGACAGAAAAAACAGGGCTCTGAAAGGCATTTTGTCTGGCTGGAATGTGCTAGGAGGGCTGGGTGCAGAGCACTAGCAAGGTAAACCTGGCCACTGCCAACAACACATCAGGATGGGTCGTGTGTGCTCCCAGAGTGACATGGCAGCCGGATGAGAGAGTGGCCAGATGTGAGCTGATGTGACGGCAGGGGTTGTGTTTTGAAGGACAAAGCTTCCTTGCCTTAAAGCTTTAGGAAGCCACTGAAGGATTTATGCAGGGAAACAACCTGATACATATTTCCAATCTTATTCTGTCAAATGGGCATGATTATAGCTGCCTTGTAAGGCTGTTGTGAAAATTACATACAAGAGTTAATTAGATGCTTAAAAATGGATATGACAAGTCTCACCCTTATTCTGCTCCAAACACTATTAAAAATTCAGAACAGAACATCCATTGGCCAGTAGGATTATGGGAAATTTACTCCAGGGGTACAGACTTATGTTAAGGAATCATAAAGTAGCTTCAATAACATAGAGTCTATCTAAGTCAGTTGGGAGTTTGCCTAGCATGCACGAAGCCCTCGGTTTGGTCTCCAAGGCCACACCAATCAGGAATGGTGGCCCACACCTCTATTCACAGCACGGGAGCTGGGGCAGAAGGGTAAGAATTTCAAAGTCATCCCCAGTTATATAATAAATATAACAAATTCAAGGCTAGTCTGGGCTGTGTGAAGCTTCATCTTAAAAACAAAAACAAACAAGCAAACAGAACCCCAAATTCCTCGTTAGTCTGTAGTGAGCTAGACAGTTCAGGTTGCCTCTAAACCAGGACATTTCAAATTGAGATAAACTTTTGGAGATCATTCTAGAGCTAAAGTGACTCTAACAGTTATTGTATGTTTTTCAAAACCTCTGAGAAGTAGAGAATAAAGTATCCTAGGGTCACATAACACTTGAGCTTTAAATTAGCTTTAATTTAGTAAATGGTTTTGAACTACAAACTAACTCTCAAGAATGCTTCTCCTGGGCCACAAGGAGAAGCAGGAAGGGAAAATACTCTTGCAGCATAAAATATCAAAATGATCTCTTTTATGTTAAAGAAAAGGCTGAAAGGAGATGTGGGGAACGAGTTCACTTGAGGCTACCAAAGCCTTACGAGACTTCTCTCTGTGCAATAGGTCACCGGGTTAGGCAGCACATTTCACTGTCTGGCTGACATCAAGGGACTCCTTAGGTCACTTATTTAGGCTAGTGGTTTAGAAATCATGAGCACATCAGAGAAGTGACTTGGGACAACATGATTACTTATAAATGGAACCTTCTGAGATGGCTCAGTGGCTAAGGCTCTTGTAGTCAAGCCTGACAACCTGAGTTTGTTCCCCAGGACCCACGTGGTGGGAGGAGAGAACTGACTCCAGCAAGTTGTCCTCTGACCTCCACAAGTGTACCGTGGCACGTGCACAGGGATTGGTGTGAGCACACACTCTCACACCACACACATGCACACACACACTCACACAGTCATGTACAAATGTAACAGAAACTTAAAAAAAAAAGTCTAGCTGATGAAATAGAGGAAAAGGGAAACCACACAAATACAGCTTTTTAAAAGTTACATCGGCTGCAACAAATGCAACCTGGTTCTCGCCTAGGGAAGATGTGACAAACTATCGGACTAAATATGTAAGATATATGTTTATGCAAATTCAGAAAATCCAAAGAAAAGAGGGTTAAATGGGTATGTTTTATGTGCCTGGGCACTTTTTCTGTTTGGACATATTTGAAATGTTGATTCCTTAGGAGTCAAATGATTTCCCTCAGCACATTATAAAATGTTATTGCTCACTTTTTTTTCATTTTAAAGTATAACAATTTTAGAGTAGTTTACTTTTCTCAAGTGAACTATTTATCCAAGAGGTTATATCTGATTTCAGATGGCAGCCTTGTGCCACTCCGAAGTCCCTAGGTTACTCTTTAATAAAAAGACTTAAAGAGCATCTCATTATGTTGCCAGTCATACAGCTCAGTTTACAGCTGCTGAATTTTATTCTGAACCGTGGCTAAAATTGTTAATCTCATTGAGCTTCAGGTCTCCTTAAGATGGGAACAGTGAAAAGGAGGGCCTGTTTCATGGTTGATATGAGGGTCAAACGTGGTACACAAAAAGGGCTTCCCATAGCCTGTGGTACCCAGTAGGAGCTATTATTTCTCCTGTGCTTTCATAATTGCTTTAATACACTGAACATTTTCCAGCATAAATTCTGACTTCTGAAACACATTATTTTAAATACCTTAGCAGGGTCTAATATTCCCAGCTTTTATATTATTGCTTTCATTTAGCTCCCAACACATGTCGGCCCGCCTGTTTTGCTGTGTGGCACACATAATGCCAGACGTGGGCTACAAATCATCTCGCTTTCCATATTTAATATGCACAGGTGAGCTATTGGCGATTCTCTTTCTACTATAGCTAAGTACCACTCAGAACAGGAGCAACAAATCCATACCGAGAATGATTGTGCATTAATATTATTCTGGAATCGGGATGTGTTGTTGGAAAAGAAGCCCAACCTCTAAATCTATAAGCTGCTGCTTTCCCACAGAATAAAGCTAGACTCCCATTACTATAACTTTAACCACATAACTATAGATTTTTAAAAATGGCCTTCAGTTGCAACTGTGAAAGAAACTAAGCTAACATATATTAACACCAGCTTTGGAAGATGAAACATATTTTACTTTAAACATAAAAATCAAGGACAGACTTTGTGAGTTAGCATGAAACTAGTGGTGCCGATTTTTACTAGACTACCCCTTAAACAGAGTGTTTCTTTGAACCCCCACACCTGTGCTCAGAAGCTCTCGTGAGAAGCCAGCCGTACAGTACCTTGATCAGGTTGTGTCCCACAGTGTAGACAGCTGTTAAATTTCCCTTCTCTCCTGGCGCGTGCATACCTGTGCCAAACCCATGCCAAGCAACGAGGTAAGGGTTGTGAATTGTGATCCAGTATTTGACGCGGTCCCCGAAGGTCCGGAAGCAGTAGGTGGCATAGTCATTGAAGAGATCTATCAGAGTTGCGTTTGTCCAGCCCCCATACTCCTCCTGTAGTGTCAAAGGCAAATCCCAATGGTATAAGGTGACGATGGGCTCCATATTCCTGCGTATCAGCGAGTCCAGAAGCGCGTTGTAGTACTGGAGACCTTTTGCATTCACGGCTGCTACTGTTCCATTGGGGAACAATCGTGGCCAGGAGATTGAGAACTGATAAAAAGAAACTCCTAAAAATTCCAGAGCCGACAAGTCCTTTTCCAGAAACACGTAACTGTCGGCGGACTTGGCTGTGATGTTGACATCTCTCAGGTGTGTGTGGATGAAACGATCCCAGATCGAGGGTCCTCGCCCGTCTGTCTGCCGACTCCCTTCCACTTGAAATGCTCCAGTCCCGACACCCCAGAAGAAGTTTTTAGGGAAAGTGTCATAGAGAAACAGCTGACTTGCATTGACCGGACTCACATAATGTTTTTTATCCCATAGCGCTCTCCCGTCTCCAGAGAATCCGGTAACAGCTCGCAGCAGAACAAGCGCTGACAGCACCACAGATCTTTGCAGTGCCCTGTTGGACATTGTTTTCCTAGAGCGTGTGTTTCTTTCATCAGAGCTGAAGAAAATCCATTCATTCCCTGGAGACCCCGCTGCACAGCCTGCCTTCATTTGCCACTAACTGCTGGACTGTCTTTATCAGCTTTCCAGCAAAAGCCTGTGATTGTAAAGCCCTGTCAATGATTAGCCTGGACCGGGAGACTTAGGATGGGTCATGAGAGCCACGCAGTTTGAGGGAGGTGGCCTCAGTGCAGTCAGCAACACGTGTCGTCTTCTAGGGATGAGCAAAATGAGATGGATGGGAATGCATCTCTGGCGCTAATTTGAATGTGTTAACCCATGGGAACGATGCCCAAGAGTGGCATTGTCTGTGTAGCCTTCCACAGAGATTGTTTCTGAACGTTTTGAACTTTATTGAGTAACGGATCTACTTTTCTATTCTTAGAGTCTTAGAGTGGTAATTTTATCATCTCCCATTTTAGGGAAAGCAATTTTACATACAAATCAATAGCCAGAAATAAATAATTAAAAGCAGGCTACCACACTTCAACCAAAAACATACACACCCAAGAATAATCTTAGTAAATGTCATCTGTTTTAAGAAAACGTAGTTGAACTGGGCAGTGGTGGTGAATGCCTTTAATCCCAGCACTTGGGAGGCAGAGGCGGGTGGATCTCTTTGAGTTGGAGGCCAGGCTTGTGTATATAATTAGTTCTAGTACATCTAGGGCTACACAAAGAAACCCTGTCTCAAAAACAAACAAACAAACAACTTAGTTGAGCACACTGGTTCAAGCCTGTAACTCCAGAAGTTGGGAGACTGGGGCAGGAGGATTGCTGTGAGTCTATGAAGGCCTGCCTAAGCTGCATAATTCAAAGGCACCTTGGCTACAAAGCAAGACTCCATCTCAAAGATCTGCAAACCAAGCCAAGTAGGTGCTTTAGGATCGGTGCCCCAGGAGGTGGTGGCAAGAAGTTCTAGGTCATTCTTGGCTACAAAAGGAATTTGAGGTCACTGGGGCTACGCGGTATTGAATGTGGGAGACAATTTGAGTTTGAGGATTTGCTGGAGTATATGAGTTGAACTTCTTTTTGGCAATAATAGGGCTTGAACTCAGGACATGTGCATGCTAAGTAAATGCCCCACCACGGGCCTATGTCTCTAGTCCTCTTTTGACTCTTATTTTAAAGCAGGGGCTCACTCTGTTGCCTATAAACTTGATATGTAGTGCAAGCTGACCTGTAACTTGTGGCAATTCCCCTGCCTCAGGCTTACATCACCAGATCCAGGAAGTAGCCTAAATTAAATTTTTATTATTTATTTATTTATTTATTTAATTTATTTTAGATGGTCTCACTTCATAGCCCTGGCTGACCTGGAACTCAATTGTGCACCACAGTTTCCTGCTCCATAGAAGTAGCATAAATTGTGTGGTGGTGAGCATCTCAGCCCTTGAGAGGCCGAGGTAGGCAGACTCCATAGTAAGTTCCAGGCTAGTCAGAGCTTCATAGTGAGACCCTGTCTCAAAAACAACAAGAAAGCCAACTAAAACAAGCAACCCAAGAAGCATAATAAGGATGATGTTTGTGGATTATTATGAGGGTAAAGTTAGCACACCTGAGCCACTTCAACTAGAGATGGACACATAGTAAATGCTCAATAAACTTAAATTAAAAAAAAAAACTATCCAAGACAGGCTCTCATTCTGTAGCCCAGGCTCTGGCTTGGGACTTCTGGGGCTCTTCCTGCCTCAGCCTCTGAGAGCCGGACTTACAGATAGGGTTTTGTTGTATCTCCAAGGTTGCCCCCACCTTCTCCCCAGAGAAAAAGCATTATTTTTACGTGGAAGGAAAGGAGTCCAGGAAGCGGCGGTCATAGGCAGTGTTGAAAGCACGGCTCCGACCTGGTTCAGGCTTCCCTTACGTGTGCACACCTCCCTCTAGCTCGACACACACTAAGCTGTCCACACCCAGTTCAGCCTCAGTGTTTTCCCAGGTGTGCCTTCCCCACTGGCTATGTGATACTCCCTTTTTCTAGATCGTGTCTGGGTTTCTTTTTGGTTTGGTTTGGTTTTTGGTTTTTGGAGACACTGTTTCTCCATGGAGCCCTGGCTGTTCTGGAACTCACTCTGTAGATGAAGCTAGGCTTGAACTGACAGAGATCCTCCTGTCTCTGCCTCTCAAGTGCTGGGTTAAAGGTGTGTGCCACCACCCTTTGGTGCAATAATTTTTTAAAAAATATTTTATTTATTATGTATACAGTGTTCTGCCTGCATATAGGCCTTCAGGCCAGAAGAGGGCACCAGACCCCATTACAGATGGTTGTCAGCCACCATGTGGTTGCTGGGAATTGAACTCAGGACCTTAGGAAGAGCAGGCAGTGCTCTTAACCACTGAGCCATCTGTCCAGCCCTAGTGCAATAATTCTTGAAGTTAATCATAACTCAATTATTTTTCTCCTTTAAAATATATTTTTTTGAGAATTTCACATATGCATAAAAGGCATTTTGGCATATTCATCCCCATCCCTCCCTTTCTTTAACTCCTCCCGGATCCACCCCGCACTTCCCACCCCTTCCCAACTTTGTGTGTGTGTGTGTGTGTGTGTGTGTGTGTGTGTGTGTGTGTTTGAGAGAGGCTACCCCAGAACTTACTATATAGAACATGCTGACTTTGAATTCCCAGATATCTACTGAGTCCGATTTGTACTGTCTGTATACTCATGGGTGTTGGGCCATCCACTGGAGTATGGTCAACCTATGAAGGGCCATACCCTTAAAGAAATCTGACCCAACCCCAGAAGTCATCAGCTGCCAATAGCTCTCCTTTCTTCTTTCTTTCTTTCTTTCTTTTTTCTTTCAATTTTTCAAGATAGGGTTTCTCTGTGTAGCCCTGGCTTTCCGGGAACTAGCTCTGTAGACCGGGCTGGCCTCAAACTCAGAGATCCATTTTCCTCTGTCTCCCAAGTGCTGCGATTAAAAGCGTGCATCACCACCACCCAGTTTTAATTTTCCTTCTTTTATATGTTTGATTTTTTTAAAGATTTATTTATTTATTATGTATAAACATTCCTTCCATGTATGTTTGTATGCCAGAAGAGGGCACTAGATCTTATTATAGATGGTTGTGAGCCACCATGTGGTTGCTGGGAATTGAACTCAGGACCTTTGGAGGAGCAGGCAATGCTCTTAACCACTGAGCCATCTCTCCAGCCCCCTATATATTTTATTTATTTATTTATTTTTTAAAGATACATTGACTGAGGCTGGTAAAAGGGTCAGCAGTTAAGAGCACTCGCGGCTCTTGAAGAGGATTTGAGTTTGGCTCCCAGCCACTCACAGGCAGCAGGCAACCACCTGCAATTCTAGTTCCAGAGTCTGATGTTTTTTTCTGACCTCCAAAGGCACCCGTGTGGCATATGTATACACACCCAGGCAAACAGATGGGCTCACATAAAATATGGTTAAATAAATCTAAACTTTTTTTGAGACAGGGTTTTTCTGTGTAGCCTTGGTTGTCCTGGAACTCCCTCTGTAGACCAGGCTAGCCTCAAACTCCCAGAGATCTTCCTGCCTCTGTCTCCCGAGTGCTGGGGGAAAAGGTGTGCACCACCACACTCGGCTGAAAAAATCTGTAAGGTTAAACAAAATGTGTATGTGTGCGATTTAGTGAGGTAAAAGTTTCCTGATGAGAAACCAGATGCTTTCCCACTAAGGCAGGAAGAAGCAGATGTCTGTTCTCATCACTGTTAGTGTGTGCTGTCCTGATTGTTGACCTGATGATTGACCTTGGGACGTTCCTAATGCTCTACCACTGACTTGCACACCTACTCTCTTAGCTCAGTTCAGCACCATGCTAGAATCTCTACCTAATGCAACCACAAAATGTACACACTGGGAAGCAACAAAAAAATATAAATTTATAGGTGATCATGTCTGTTTTATGCAGAAAATCCCAAAGAATCAGCTGAAAATCCTGGCACAAATGAACAGCTATAGTTAAGTTGCAAAATGAAAGTTAATATAGAGGGCTGGAGAGATGGCTCAGAGTTTAAGAGCACTGGCTGCTCTCCCAGAGGTCTTGAGTTCAATTCCCAGCAACCATATGGGGGGCTCACAATCATCTGTAATGAGATCTGGTGCCCTCTTCTGGCCTGCAGGCAGACATGCAGGCAGAATACTGTATACATAATAATAAATAAAATCTTAAAAAAAAAGAAAGTTAATATAGAGAAGCCAATAAATTGCTTTCTTGTACTCCATCAATAAAATCTTAAAACTTGATATTGAAAAGGTTAGATTGGACTTGGGAATATGGTTTAGTGGGTACAAGCACTTCCTGTGCAGGCCCGAGGACCTGAATTTGAATCCCCAGTATATATACAAAGAGAAAGTTCAACAGGGGGCCTAGTGTGGTTAATCAGACAGATCTCTGGGCGATTTAGGTCAGCCTGGTCTATATATTGAGTTCTGGTCCAGTAAGTGTCATACATTGAGACCCTGGGTTTTATTGTTACTATTGTTTTGAAATTTGTCATGGCTATGGTTTTGTAAGCCCCAGTTTTGAGGGGCAGATTTTTTTTTTCTCCACACACGAAAATGCTTTGCTTATATAATATAAACAAACTATAAAGAAATGCATTTAAATATCTGTACAACGCACACAGGTAGCATTCAATATCCAGGGAGTAAAGAATGATTGAAGGGCCACGGGATGGCAAGGACGTGCATCTCCGGGTGTGGCAGCTTCTTGAACCCTGACACCTTTCAGGATCTGGAGATTCAAGAAGATGAGCAAGCTGGTGCTCTCTAGGGCCCTGGAACTCTCACAGTCCAGAGGGTCGAAAGGAAAGACCGTTCCTTCTTCTACACAGATGTCCTCATGGGCAGGGACAGAGCTTCTGTTGACCAGCTAGCCTCCCTGGCCCAAATGGTTCCAGGGTTAGCGAGTCCTGTCACAAGAGAATAGGTAGAGTGACAGAGCAGGGCACCCACCTTCCGGTGTTCTCCGCAAGAGGAGACAGGAATGTGTGTATTCCCATAGTGTGCACGGACACAAACATACTGTGTACACAAAGTAAGCTAACTAGCCACCGTCTTTTTTTTAAAATATTTATTTATTTATTATGTATACAATATTTTGTCTGTGTATATGTCTGCAGGCCAGAAGAGGGCACCAGACCTCATTACAGATGGTTGTGAGCCACCATGTGGTTGCCGGGAATTGAACTCAGGACCTTTGGAAAAGCAGTTGGTGCTCTTAACCACTGGGCCATCTCTCTGGCCCCCTAGCCACCGTCTTTTAAAAAGACAGCAGCAGGGCTGGGGGTGTAGCTCAGTTGGCAGAGTGCGTGCTTAGCATGCTAGATGCCCTAGGTTCTCAGCACAGTGTTAACTGAACAGTGGTGCTTCCTGTGTCGTTATGGAAGCAGGAAGATCAGAAGTTAAAGGCCTGGGGCTAGAGAGATAGCTCAGCGATTAAGATCTCTGGCCTCTCTTTCAGAGGTCCTGAGTTCAGTTTCCAACAGCCACGTGGTAGTTTACAGCTATCCATGATGGGTCGGATGCCCTCTTCTGGCATGTAGGCATATATGCAGGTAGATTATTCATGCACATAAAATACACTTAAAAAATCTTAAAATAATAATAATAATACATTCAAGGCCATTCTCTGTAATCAGTGTGCTTGAGGCTAGCTTTCATTACACAAGGTTCTGTCTTAAAATAAAATAATCTTAAAAAATCAATCTGGGGAGGTGGCTCAGTACCTAAGTGCTTGCTATATAGGCAGCAGGAGTGAGGACTAGAGTTTGGATCCCCAGAACTCACGCAAATGCCGGGTGGGCATGGCAGCCCCCCGCCCCCGAAATTCCAGTGCATCAGAGGTACAAATTGGAGGGAGTTTGATCAAGAATCTCTATCTCAGTTTACAAGCTAGGTGTGTTGGTACATTCCTGTAATCCCAGAGCTTGGTGGGTGAAGGTAGGAGAATCAGGAGTTCAAGGTCATCCTCAGTTGCTTGGTCAGCCTGAGATCAAAAACAATAGTAACAACATCTATATAGATGGAGTGATAGACCAGTTACATGGATTAAAAAAAAACTTATTATGACTTTCTCCTGCAATCCCAGGACTAGAGATGGGGCTTTGTTGGTAGAGTGTTTGCCTTCCCTCTCTAGGCCCTGGGTATGATCCCCAACACTGCATACTGAGGATGGTGTTATGTTGTGAGTTTGAGGCCAGGCTGGGACACATGAGACTCTAGCTCAAAAACAAAAG